AATTCTCACTCACCTTGGAGCGCACCGGTTCACTTAGTCCCCAAGAAACCAGATGCATCCGGGCAGCCTAAATTTAGAATGGTTATAGATTATCGGCGATTAAATGAGAATACAATAGACGATAAATACCCGTTACCTAATATAACTGACCTTTTTGATAAGTTAGGCAAATCTGTATATTTTAGTACCCTTGACCTGGCAAGTGGCTACCACCAAATAGAAGTTAATGAAGCTGATAGGCCAAAGACAGCTTTCACAACTCAATCCGGTCACTATGAATTCAAACGCATGCCGTTTGGATTAAAGACAGCCCCTGCAACTTTCCAAAGAGCAATGGATAATATCTTAAGAGGCCTCCAAGGTCTCCATTGCTTAGTGTACCTCGATGACATAATTGTGTATTCGGCTAGTCTTCAGGAACATATTGAACAATTAAGGAAAATTTTTGACCGTCTCAGAGAAACTAATTTAAAAGTCACGTTAGATAAATGTGAATTTTTGAGAAAAGAAGTTCTATATCTAGGTCATACGATTACAAAAGAGGGTTTAAAACCAAACGACGAAAAAATTAAAGCAGTACTAAAATATCCATTACCGCGTACAGCCACCGAAATAAAAAGTTTTCTCGGATTAATAGGGTATTACAGAAAATTCATTAAAGACTTCGCTAAACTTACACAACCGCTTACCTCTTGCCTGAAAAAGAAAAACAAAATTGAAATTACAAAAGAATATATAGACGCATTTGAAAGATGTAAAGAGCTTTTAACAAACGCCCCACTTTTACAATATCCTGACTTCTCTCGACCGTTCGTTCTCACCACAGATGCGTCGAACTTTGCTCTCGGTGCAGTTCTATCGCAGGGACCTATCGGTAGTGATAAGCCCATAGCCTTTGCAAGTCGTACGTTGAACGATGCTGAAACTAAATACAGCACAATAGAAAAAGAACTTTTGGCAATCGTTTGGGCAGTCAAACATTTCCGCCCTTACTTATATGGGAAAAAATTTACAATTTACACTGATCATCGCCCTTTAGCCTGGCTAAACTCCATTAATGAACCGAATAGCAAACTAACTAGATGGAAGTTACGCCTATCGGAATTTGATTACGAAATAGTGTATAAGAACGGGAAACAAAATTGTAACGCTGATGCTTTATCTAGAATTAAGATTAACGCCTTAACTGATAACGATAATGTTTCCATGCAAGTGAATGTAGACGAAAACGAAAAAAAACTTCAACGCCATTTGAGCAATGTAGTCTCTAAAATTGTACAGCTAGGTAATTCGAATCAGGCGGGGGACGTAGTAACAGTATCATCCGATTCGGAAACGTTAAGTATTCCCTCTTTACATGGTAGACAATCTCCATATCCGATACCATCTCCAAATAGTAGCACCGCCACAGCTTCTGAAGGACACAGTAGTAACAATACAGTACATTCGGCTAAAGACATAGACACAGCAGGAATATTAATTCTCCAGGAAGCGATTGATGCGAAACCAAATCAAATACTCGTTCATACCTGGAACAGAAATGAATGTTCGGTTAAAAACTTATCTAGGGCTAAACAGAACATATTGGAAGTTCACTTACCATTAAACAATTTGGATTTAATAAAAAAATTCCTGAAAGAGTATATCAGACCTAAAATTAAATATTTTTTTTATTTCGAAGATGTCATACATCGCAAGCAGTTTTCGGAAGCCACAACGCAATTATTCAAAAAGGATAGTGTTAAATTTTATGAATGTACAAAGAGGATAGTATATGTAGAAGATGAAAATGAGCAACGCGAAGTAGTTCTTAAATATCATTTAGGTAAAAATTGCCATAGAGGTATTAGGGAAACATTAGTACATTTGAGGCGAACGTTTTATTGGAATAATATGGAACAAACGGTAGCGAGCATTATAAACTCATGTGAGGTCTGCAAGAAAATGAAATACGACCGTAAACCCCTAAAACCTCAACTTCAATTGACTCAAACCCAGTCTAAGCCATTCCAAGAAATTTTCATTGATACCTTTTCGATAGAAGGCAAGTATTTTCTAACCCTGATAGACGCGTTCAGCAAATTGGGTCAAGCAATTGAAATTAATAGTAGGTCTACCCCGGAAGTAATAAGAGCTTTAATAAAGTATTTTTCATTTTACGGAATTCCATCCAAAATCAGTTCAGATCCCGGTATGGAATTTAATAACGTACTCTTAAAGGAAATGCTAACATTATACAAAATCAATCTACACATTGGTACTGCGCACAACCCCAACTCTATGGGACTTATCGAAAGGTTTCATTCAACTATTACTGAAATTTACCGAATCGCGAAATACGAACATAAAATTACAGACGCAGCGTCAGTGATGACGTATGCTGTTATGTCATACAACCATTCAATTCACTCTTCGACAGATCTAACGCCTTTTGAAGTAGTATTCGGACACACCGAATCCAATAGTACATTTGCCATTAATTTCGATAAGCAATTCACACAGCAGTTAGTAAAGGATCACGCTAAAAGGACCAAATATTTATATAAATATCTTACGGATAAAATAATTGACAAAAAGTTGACGGTGAGAGAAAAACACGCAGGCGAATCACAGTGCGATATAGACGTAGGTGATACTGTGTTCATAAAAGGTGTTAATACTAGACGGAGCAAAGATAAACCACGTTACCAAAAGGCTCATGCCATCGGTGCTATAAAAAGAAATGTAGTTCCCGTTGAAACCAATAAACGTATTACTAATGTTCCTATTAAAGACATAAAACGTCCTTCGCAGATTATTTCTACTGGTGATCCGAACAATGGGAAGCCAGGCCCTTCATCAGCTTCGCATTGACAAGAATCCGGGATTGTTACCTGTTGACGAAGGTCAAGCATTTGTTAATTATGATAACTGGATAGTTATTAAGATATTAGATTTAAATTTAATTTACGATGAATTAGAATCAAGTATGAATAAATATGGGTTACTTAAAAAGCATGTTCAAAGTTGTTTCGATACTAAATCATTTGATTCAGATTTTACTACCGTCCAACATCAAACCGATTATACTATGAATATTACCATCGACAAATTTAAACAATTAATTCCTCCATTACGAACCAAAAGAGGTCTCCTCGATCCGGTAGGCTCTTTGATAAAAGCCATCACAGGTAACTTAGATAATAATGACGCTCTTAGGTATGAAAGATTAATAAATAAGCTACATACGGAACAAAATGTGATTAAAAATAAAATGACAATAGTTTCCGAAATGGTGGGCTCATTTACAGCCATGGCAAATTCTACTAAAAGCAATTTTATACGATTAGAAGATAATATTCAAAACATTAATCAAGCTTTAAACAACTCCGATTTTCGACAGACGGTTACTAAACTCATTCACCTTTATAATATCTTCCTTGATAATTTTCATAATTTATATTTCCATTTGAGTGAAATCGAAACAGCCATTGCTTTTAGTAAAATTAATGTACTACACCAGTCAATAATTGATACAGAAGAACTTATAATATTGCTTAAGGAAATAGAACAAACTGACAAATTAGTGTTTCCTGTCACTTATGAAAATATTGTAAAATTAGAAAGATGTATCGAGATAAAAGCCTATATTAAACAGAATCAGATAAAGTTTATTATGAGTATTCCACTTATTAGAAATGAAATTTTTAACTATTATAAATTAGTTCCCTTACCTGTATTACATAATGGCCAGACGACTCTCATCCTACCTAAAAATCCGTACCTACTTGTGAAAGGGTTGAAAGCAACACCGCTCTCTCAGTCATGTCGCGAGGTCGACGAACGCCGATTCCTGTGTCATGAGAACGACATACAACTCTTCACCAATGACAACTGTGTCGTAGAAATCATGCAGTTTCACACAAATATCTCAAGTTGTCACCCGATCCCTGTCACCCTAGAAAATGTGAAGATCTACCTCATACAACCAAATCGCTGGATAGTTTACTCAAATACTGAAACAGCTATGACTAAATTCTGCGACAATGAAGTTAGCCAAGAGATTCTACTAGGAACCTACCTCTTAACTATGGATGATAACTGCAAGGTGAAAATCAAAGGATACGAACTGAAAAGACATCAGACTCAAGGTAAAGAAATAACCTCCCTAAGGCAGCCATTAATAAACCTACCAAAGATAATACTCAAACCGTCAAGCACTCTGAAGAAGCCTGTGAATCTCGATGGAATTAATATAGCAGACGTACAGTTCCTGAATCTATTACTGCAGAAAAGTATGGGAGAAATTAGTGACAGTGAGTTAAGTGAAAATGCAAAAAGTGAAATTACTAATAAAAGTGTTAGTTTAGTTAATATTATTATTTTAGTTATTATATTAATTATTTTAAGTATAATTGTTAAACATAAATTAATTGAAATTTGTAAAATCTGTAAAATTCGTGATAATCCCGAGGATAATCCCGAACTTGTGGAGGGAGGAGTTATATCGCCTCAATCCGTCCCTGGCTCAATATTCCAAACAGCCACATCAGCACATGCGTGAGAACTCGAGTGATAATTCTAAAGTAATGTAAGACGATATGATAATTGTACTAGACTTATTTTATTAACATTTAATATGGAGGCATTCTGTAACGAACCACCTTCGAAAGAACATTAAATCATTTTATACTTTAAATTGTGTTTTTAAAAAGACTGTCGAGGTTCGTCGCAATTTAAGTAATTATATTGCTTACAGGTCAACACTTGGGATGAAATGAAAACATGATGGGGGAAAAAATATTGTTCCATTCTGTTTGATGAAGTGGCAGTGTCTTATGACAAACATAAAGTTTTAATTAGTGGATTTGTTGAACTTAACAAAAAAAACAAGTGATTTTGCTGACCATGCCGTTGTCTTTATGTTGCGGGGAGTTGTTCACAAGTGGCAACAACCCCTGGCCTTCTACTTCTGTAGAGGAGCAACTTCAGGAGTTGAATTAAAAAATATTATCAAGGACATGGTAATAGCAGTAGGTAACACAGGACTTAGACCAGTGGCTCTAGTCTATGATCAGGGCACAGCATTTCAATCTGCCCTGAAGAGCCTTCAAGAGGACACAAGGCGAGAGCAAATAATTTCAGGTGAAAGGATTGGTGAGTAGGCCTTGCCATTTTTGTATGCAATCTCTTACCAACTACATTAAAATTGTGGAGTGGTGTTTGTAGCTACATTGTAATTATTTTTCAGATGACGTGATTGTAATTAATAACCATACACTTAGTGTAATTCACGATCCACCTCATCTAATAAAAGGATTAAGAAATAATTTCCTAAATAAAGACATAAAATATAATGACAAGATTTCGAAGTGGAGTGACATTGCTGAAGTATATAAAACAGACTTCAAACTTGCACAGATGAGGCTTTTACATAAATTAAATGATGAACATGTGATTCTAGAGAAAATTAAAAAGATGAAGGTAATTATTATTTTATTAACCATCTATATATTTTATATATTCATCACATTGTGAAATAGTAAAAAATGTGCTATTTTTCTGTTACTAGTTTCTAATTTGTTTTTATTTATATTTCAGGTTAAAAATTGCACTAGTGTTTAGCAAGACAGTAGCTGCTACGTTATCATATACTGCTCAGTTTTGTAAGTTCCTAAGCTAAATTTGGCATAATATTTTAAACTTGCTGGAAAGTCAAAGATAAATTTTAACTTTTTGAAATAAATTCAAATTTAATTGAACAAATTCTGTATGTGGCCTAATTTTTTTAGCTCATTATGCAGATGGAAAGCAAGTAAGCTCGACTTTGAAAAATACAGCCGAAATTATATCGTTCTTTGACGACCTCTTTGACTCAGTTAATGGAACTTCATATAATAAAACATCTAAAAGAAAAACTTTAAGACAGGCAGTAAGGGAAAAATCCTCACATCACAAATTTTGGAGGGAAGCAATCCTAAAACTGCAAAGCATAAAAATTATAGATAATCAAGGTAAAGAAACATCTGTGCCTTCATTAAAAAACTGGATAACAACTCTCAAAAGTTACCAGAGATTATGACGATATCTAAGTGCAAAAATATTAAAGTTTTGCGCCCGCGGTTTTTAAATTCTGATGCTATTGAAATTTTTTTGGACAAACAATTTTAGAAATACGAATTCAAATTGCCAAACATTCAAAAGTACCTTTAGATCACCAGATGGAAGTTAGCGTAGAACATTCTTTTTTTTTAAATAAACTGTATGCCAATTAATTGCTCCATAAATGCTCCAGCAGAATCCGAAATTGCTCCACCTTTATTGTTATTAGTTATTTTATAATTAATTTAAAAAAAATTAAGTATAAAAATATTAATTTTGCTATAAAGTATAAAATATCTACTTTTTTAAATTAAACTGTATGCCAATTAATTGCTCCTTAAATGCTCCAGCAGAATCCGCAATTGCTCCACATCTATTGTAATTAGTTAATTTATAATTAATTTTTAAAAATTTAAGTATCGACAATTCAATTTTGCTATAAAACATAAAATATCTACGTTTTAAAATTAAACTGTATGCCAATTATTTGCTCCTTAAATGCTCCAGCAGAATCCGAAATTGCTCCACCTCTATTGTAATTAGTTAATTTATAATTAATTTTTAAAAAATTTAAGTATTGACAATTCAATTTTGCTATAAAACATAAAATATCTACGTTTTAAAATTAAACTGTATGCCAATTATTTTCTACTTAAATGCTCCAGCAGAATCCGAATTTGCTCCACTTCTATTGCTATTAGTTAATTTATAAATAATTTTTTAAAATTTTAAGTATCGAAAATTTAATTTTGCTATAAAACAGAAAATATATAGTTTTTAAAAATAAACTGTATGCCCATTATTTGCTCTTTAAATGCTCCAGCTGAATCCGAAATTGCTATACCTCTATTGCAATTAGTTAATTTATAATTAATTTTTTAAAAAATAACCAGAAGGAAGTTAGCGTAGAACATTATTTTTTTAAATTAAATTGTATGCCAATTAATTGCTTCTTAAATGCTCCAGCAGAATCCGAAATTGCTCCACCTGTATTGTTATTAGTTAATTAATAATTAATTTTTAAAAAAATAACCAGAAGGAAGTTAGCGTAGAACATTATTTTTTTAAATTAAATTGTATGCCAATTAATTGCTTCTTAAATGCTCCAGCAGAATCCGAAATTGCTCCACCTCTATTGTTATTAGTTAATTTATAATTAATTAAAAAAAAATTAAGTATCGACAATTCAATTTTGCTATAAAACATAAAATATCTACGTTTTAAAATTAAACTGTATGCCAATTATTTGCTCCATAAATGCTCCAGCAGAATCCGAATTTGCTCCACCTCTATTGCTATTAGTTAATTTATAAATAATTAAAAAAAATTAAATATGAAAATTTTATTTTGCTATAAAACAGAAAATATCTACTTTTTAAAATTAAACTGTATGCCAAGTAATTGCTCCTTAAATGATCCAGCAGAATTCGAAATTGCTCCACCTCTATTGTTATTAGTTAATTTATAATTAATTTAAAAAAATTAAGTATGAAAATTTTATTTTGCTATAAAACAGAAAATATCTACTTTTTATAATTAAACTATATGCCAATTAATTGCTCCTTAAATGCTCCAGCAGAATTCGAAATTGCTCCACCTCTATTGTTATTAGTTAATTTATAATTAATTTAAAAAAATTAAGTATGAAAATTTTATTTTGCTATAAAACAGAAACTATCTATTTTTTAAAATTAAACTGTATGCCAATTAATTGCTCCTTAAATGATCCAGCAGACTCCGAAATTGCTCCACCTCTATTGCTATTAGTAAATTTATAATTAATTTTGAGATAGTGATCCCATTTGAGTAATAGCGGCATCATAAATAGAATGTAGTAACATTCTATGGTTAAAGTCATTTTATCGAACAAAAATTGATTAACTCTCAAGGTGGTACGTAGAATAGATACTAAATGGCATAAACCCAAAAAAATAATATTGATGGGTGAGTTTTGAAATTATGGATTCTTATGAATGGATTAGACAACCATCTTAATAATTTTTTTGTGTTTGTGCCATGTAGCGTCTTTTCTACGTACCACCATGAGAGTTAACCAATTTTGATTTGATAAAATGACTACTTATAGAAAGAAAGAAATGAATGGTGCTATTAAAAAAAATTACGTATATAATAGATAGTTATATCGCCTCAATCCGTCCCTGGCTCAATATTCCAAACAGCCACATCAGCACATGCGTGAGAACTCGAGTGATAATTCTAAAGTAATGTAAGACGATATGATAATTGTACTAGACTTATTTTATTAACATTTAATATGGATGCATTCTGTAACGAACCACCTTCGAAAGAACATTAAATCATTTTATACTTTAAATTGTGTTTTTAAAAAGACTGTCGAGGTTCGTCGCAATTTAAGTGGCGCAGCCGGTAGGATATCCGTATATATTCTGCTGTCGTGCTAACGCCTTTCGGACCCCAAAATCGGTTTAAGCGTCAGTATAGCAGTCAGGTTCGGATATCCTCGAACCAAACAAATAACTCCCGCGACGCGCGCGCTATCGTTTCCAAATCAATCGATTACGCGCATTGGATCATCGGCAGTATCGAAGTGGTCAGAATCAACTGGAGGACATGGGATTGAACATACTGTGAGTAAACCTCTTCACTTCCTGTTTACATTTATCCCATTCTTTTCCGCATTTTCCGGACTAAAATCGTCGGGCCAAATTATTTGCAATTATCTGATTTTGTTGGCACAAAATAGGCCGATAATATTCTTGCTAATAGTTTAAGTTAGATTAAGTAAGATAGTTTAAATAAAAATGGCAGTAACTGTTATTCCAGCACATATTTTAGACTTGATTCCTAAATACGATGGAGATGAAAAATTACTCAATTTATTCATCTCAAAATGTGAATATGTTTTGTTAAATTCAGGAGGCGATAATACTCCGATTCAAAATTTATATAGATTCCATGCTATAAGTAGTAAGCTTAGTGGTAGAGCTGCGACTCTACTTAGTGATAACCCTAGTTTAAGTACATGGGAGGATTTGAAAGAAATTTTGACCCAGCATTTCGGCGACCCCCGTTCAGAGGAATGTATTGCTATTGAACTAGAATCTTTAAAAATCAAACAAGGAGAGTCATTTATTCAGTTTTGTACTAGAATACAAAATGTAAAAAGTTCTTTATTCGCTAAAGTCCAAAGACATTGTGATGAAGGAATAAAGGCAGCCAAAATGATTATATATAATAATACCGCTTTGAACGTATTTTTGTACAATTTACCTGAAGACCTTATTAGAATTGTCCGACTCAAAGGCTGTTCTACTTTGGAGATCGCTTTAAGTATAGTCACAGAGGAAATTAACTTCTTAGCTCAGTATAACGCCAAAAACAATAAAGCCAAACCAGTTCAGCAATTAGCTCTGCAAAGTTTCGTGAGACCAACTGCATTTATAAATTCGAATTTGACACCAAACAATAATAATAATAGTAATTTCAAGTTTGGTGTACCCAATAACCAGATGGGATATAGGCCTAATTTGATGCATACGAATAAATTCACAGCACCTCAACAAAGCTACCATTTTGCATCACCACAAAATTCAATGCCACGTAATTTCAATCATCAATTTACCCAACAACCACGAGCACCATTCCAAGTTGGTGGATTTAAATTTGGCATTCCCCAACATCAAGCTCAAAAACACGGCATGCAGAATCAACAACAGCCTAATCAGTTTAGATACGGCTTTCAACAACAGCCTAATCAATTTAAATATGGCTTTCAACAACAGCCTAATCAATTTAAATACGGCATACAACAGCAACCCAACCAATTCAAATTCGGCATACAAAATCAACCGCCCAAAAACGTTTACGACACTGACGTATCTATGCGTACCGCACCAATTAGGCAAAACATGACGACGAATGATTTGTTTTTTAGCGAGGAACCTTCAACATCATGTCAAGATTATTCTCACGATAATAATGACGGTTACTACTACGACCACTATGATGGTTTTGTAGAAGACCCTTCATTTGAAGGTCAATACCTAGAAAATTTTAGTGAAATTAATAATGAAGATAATGCAGTACCTGAAAATTTTCCGATAGTAGCCCTCGAAAGCCCTCCGAAATGATCCATCTTAATTATTGCGATAGCATTTTAAAATTACCTCATATAGTAATTCCCGAAATAAATTCGAAATTTCTAATAGATACCGGAAGCAGTAGATCCTTTATTAGTCCTGCCAAGGCTAACCAATATTTTGGTGAATTTAAATACAATGAACCTTTCACAGTTGTAAGTACCCATGCGCAAAGCATGCACGATGAAATAATTTTTATACCGCTTTTAAAAACATTCAAAAGTACTCTTCCACATAAATTTTACATATACGATGTGGATGGTAGATACGACGGCCTTATTGGGTCAGACTTATTAAAAAAATTGGCAGCTAATATCGATATGAACCACCAAATTTTACGAACACCTAATACTGAAATCCCAATAATTTATAATCCACCTTATGAAATTAATTTAGAACCAA